GTATAGGGTATAGATCACCCTGTTTATCTATGCGAAAATGGTTTAAAGTTTGATCTAAAATAAAAATGTGTTAATAAAATTTACATTCTGCATCTTGGATATTAATTACGATTTTTTAACAAATTAATTACGCGAAAGTTTATTACAATATCTTATAACATACGTAACACAAGTGAACTTTGGCTTGTGATATAGATATACATCTATATATATAAATCCGTAGTTTTGTTTAGGCACGAAGTTTTTAGATATGAAATATCATAACACAATCTTAAAATACATGTACAATAAATCAAGTAGAAAAATATTACTGTCTTGTTAGAGTTTATTTGTTTGTTTTTTCGTTAATATCATCTAGGTAGAACTGTCAAATTTCACGTGACACGTTTTGAAGTGATTGAATATTTATATTTATAAAATACGTAGATGTAAATATTTGTGTATGCAATGTACAGATGTAAACTTTTTCGAAATTATTTAGAATATAATTTTATAAATAATTTTATAACAAATTTTATGACTGTATAGAATATAAAATTTATATTAATTGTGAAATGATTTGAATGTTATTATTCTATTCAAACTACATTAACCTCTGTTGGCAGTACAGAGGTTGCAATGGGTTTTTCAAAGGGCTTACTCGCAAGAAAAGTTTCCAAAAATCACGACGCATTATACAGTTGTAAGCAGAGAAACCGATCCGAGATGGAAAGGTATGTGTACAAAAACGTAAATACTATTTTTATAAATGTAGAATGTTTAAACCAATGAATACTTTTTGCAGATGTAAATATGGAAAGATACGTAGATGAAACAGACATCTTAATTGTTGGTGGTGGACCTGCTGGTTTATCAGCTGCCATTCAAGCTCGTAAACTAGCTGAAAAACATGGGAAAGAACTCAGAGTTACTGTTGTTGAAAAAGCTGCTACTATTGGAGGTCATATTCTTAGTGGAGCTTGTTTGGATCCAATTGCTTTAAATGAACTCTTTCCAAATTGGAAAGAATTGGGTGCACCATTAAATACTCCTATTACACATGATAAATTTGCGATACTTACTGAGAAAGGTAGAATACCAGTACCAATATTAAAAGGAATGCCAATGTATAATCATGGCAACTACATCGTTAGGTAAATACATCACGATAATTGAAAATAGAGCCCTGTTAATATATTTTTCTAGAATTTTTTTGTCATCATTATTTTACACAGATTAGGCCATGTTGTAGCTTGGCTTGGACAACAAGCTGAAGCTGTGGGAGTAGAATTATATCCTGGCTATGCTGCGTCAGAAGTGCTTTATCATGAAGATGGGTCTGTGAAAGGAATTGCTACAAATGATGTTGGTATTGCCAAAGATGGTTCTCCCAAGGATAACTTTGAACGGGGAATGGAATTGCATGCAAAGTGTACGATTTTTGCAGAGGGTTGTCATGGGCATCTTACAAAACAAGTTTCAAAGAAACTAGATCTTAGAAAAGATTGCGGGCCTCAAACCTATGGTATAGGATTAAAAGAGGTAATTAATACAAAATTTATACGTTTACAGTATTTACATTACAACATTTACAGTAAATAAATTTTTTACCGCAGATATGGGAAATTGATCCAAAAAATCATAAATCTGGTACCGCTGAACACACAGTTGGTTGGCCACTAAAAAGGGATACTTATGGTGGTTCTTTCTTATACCACCTCAATGAAGATGCACCTCTTATCGCGATAGGTTTCGTCGTAGGATTAGATTACTCAAACCCTTATTTGCATCCATTCAAAGAATTTCAAAGGTTTAAGCATCATCCGAGCATTAAACCTATACTCGAAGGAGGAAAAAGGTAAGCTTTGCAGATTCCACGTTTGTATTCTGTTTTTATAATTAGAATTCGTATTTTAGAATAGCGTATGGCGCAAGAGCTTTAGTCGAAGGAGGTTTACAAGCTATTCCTAAACTTCAATTCCCTGGTGGTTGTCTAGTTGGCTGCACAGCAGGATTCCTCAACGTTCCGAAAGTTAAGGGAACACATAATGCAATGAAAAGTGGAATGCTTGCAGCAGAGAGTGTCGTGGAAGCTATTATCGATGGTGAAATAAATCCTTCACCTACCAAAGGCTTAGAACCAAAATCTTATACTAACAAAATAAAAAGTAGTTGGATTTATAAGGAGTTGAAAGCTGTAAGGAATGTAAGGCCAAGTTTCCATACAAGTCTTGGACTCTATGGAGGCATGATGTACTCTGGATTTTCTATGCTAATTGGTGGAAGGGAACCATGGACTCTGTCTCATGGGGGTACGATAATTTGTTACTAAGTATATACTACGAGATTGAAAATTTCATTACTATTATTACTACAAATGCAACAATTCTAGATCCAGACTACAAAAGGTTGAAACCGGCATCTGAATGTACATCAATCGATTATCCAAAACCTGATAATCAAATATCATTCGATTTATTGTCGTCAGTAGCACTTACTGGCACAAATCATGAAGCTGATCAACCTCCTCATCTAACTTTAGCCGATGATGCTGTACCTGTAAAAAGAAATTTAGGCGTTTTCGCTGGACCAGAAGGTCGATTCTGTCCTGCTGGTGAGTAAGGCATTTGTTTACATACATTTTTTCGTTTAACGATAGTATAAAATTTGCATGAGATAATTCACTTTATAAAAGAATGTGTTTGAGTACTCTTAAAATTATAAGAAAATATAATATGTAAGTTTCAATGCTTATAGAGAGTACACTTTAAAAATTAAATTACATGTAAACAGCAGTGAAAATAGCAACTGATGAGCAGCATGTAGGGTAAGATAAATATTACTAAGAAAGTATATAAATAAATAACGAGAAATACACGACAGATTTCTAAAATTTTATATTAACTTCTCGTATTGTTTTTCTATGTAAAACAACCTTAACTTTTGATTTAATCTGTAAGTATAAATGCTAGATTGCACAAAATATAATGTTAATTTGTTTTAACTCCATTGTTAGACTAATTTATCAATAATATTTTCCTATTAAATACATTCGATCAATAACGAATAAATTTTGTGCATTTAATTAATTGATCTAGGGTATATCAAGTGGTCTTGATACAGCATAGTTGTTAAAAAGATAGTTAGTTTTTTAGATTTATAAAAACAAATATTAACCTTAAAAATCAGTGATGTATCACTTATTGATATGCTTAATGTAATTCCATTTCATGAAGATCGATGATAAATCATTGTCAACATTAGACAATGAAGCATTCATGCTTAATTTGACGTCAAATTAGCGACGCGTACATTCACCATTTCCCGTGTCTCTGCAATTTCGATTAGGACCGTTCGCTTTCATCCATATTTCCCCTCTCCCATCTTTTGCTCCTTTTCTTCTCCCTCCACGAATCTCGTCTGGGTTTATCGACCGATGTGTCCTTGAACTTGAGCCATCCGAACACCCCTCATGGCTAGACTACCCTCGACCAGGCACAGGTCCCGAATTCAGGGTGAGCGTAGTTGCGGCCACCAACCCTCCTTCAGAATTTTTTCTTCTGACTCTTTCTAAAGAAAGCAGACATCGTCTGCAAACCATTCATCACTTTACCAACCATTCAATGTAACAGTAAAGAAATCAAATCTCCCGGAGTGCAGTAAAGCGATAAATACTTAGCTTGTTCATTCTCTATTTTCTCAATTCAACAAATACTTTAATTAATTGAACAAATTGATTTGTCTGATCATTTCCAAAAATGCGGGCATCGTCTGCTTATTATTTGTAACTGAACCAGCAATTCAACACGTTAGTAAAGGATTATAAAAATTGTCAGAGTACAATTTCATAATGCATACTCTATTTTTTGAACTAAAAAAATTCTTTAATTGATGAAATAAACTTTTTTACAGTTACAGTCTTTATTGAAATTTGTTTGGCTTTAATATTCCTTGGGTATTGGGGATTCGCATAAACAATCGTAGTCAGAAAATTGACCGAATTATTCGCGGTCTGGTGATTACAGACGTTTGGTGTAGTTTTTCAGATAAATTTGATACAAGACGGCATCTGTAAGCGGGCGAAATTTATATGTCTGCCGTGCTCAGAACCCTCCCACCACCTCTGATATTTACTGCACTCTACCTTCTTTCTATTTCTCTCGTGGAGCAACCTCTTGCTTTCCCCAGGATCGGTCGTCGGGGTAACGGGGAGGAGCTCGATGGGGGTTGTTTTCCTACAGGACAATTCGAATGTCTGGAAAGTGGAAGGGAACAGGTTATCGACTGTCTGGCGCGGAGGGCACAATTTGACCTTCGTAATGGAACTCTGATAATCCACCGCCAGGAGAACAGAATTACACAAGTGTGTGTGTGTGTGTGTGTGTGTGTGTGTGTGTGTGTGTGTGTGTGTGTGTTCTTCATTTTCAATAAATATTACTTGGAGAATTTTTGACACTTAATCTATCGGAAGCTTTTTAACCTTTTCAAATATTTATTTTATTTATGATGCATTTGCTGTGAAATTCAAATAAATTATAATGAAACAAAATAACTAAACCAAAATAAAATCTTATAAAATTATATAAAATATGATATCTAATTACAATTAAGAACAATTTTTGTATCTTTTACAAAATGTTATAGCAAAATTCCAATGGAAAAGCCATCTTTTCATAACGAGTATACTCGACGTACACATTGAAAGGGTTAATCGGACTTTAAATTATTTTTCTATACATTGGATTATGTTACTGGGAATGATTTGATGGTACAAGATTGAAATTGCAATTGTAATTAAACAATTTATGAAGGAGCTCTTAACTATAAATTTTAAATTCTTACGAAATCGTCGTCGGTAGATAATGTGATAAATAGCACAGTTCCGATATTTCCGTATAGTTCCCCTCGCAAAAGTGTGAAATATGATTTGCATTGTTCCTAGGATAGTTTGATAAATATAATAAAATCCGTAATTATTCTTCACGTGTTATTGTTTGCAGGCGTTTATGAGTTTGTGCCACTAGAATCCGGAGAGGGGGAAAGACTGCAAATAAATGCACAGAATTGCATTCACTGTAAAACATGCGATATCAAAGATCCTAGTCAAAATATCAACTGGGTCGTGCCAGAAGGAGGTGGTGGTCCAGCTTACAATGGGATGTAAATTGCAATTGGAAATTACTTGAATATTCGCAATGCATTCAAATTATATTTTTTTACGTGTGCTCAATGTTCGTGCACACAAACGACTAGAGATCCAATAATGAAAAATATGCAATCTTTAATACTGTACATAATTCTGTAAACTATAAACGAATCGACACAACAGGATATTTTTTATATTATAATGTACAGTAAAATTATCGAATTTATACAAAGTTTTTACTTATAAATTTTTAAGCAATGTTATACTTTTTAAATACTATTTAAGAGAATAGTTGTAATGGGAAGTTTTTATATGAGGTGGATAATATACACATATGTAGAATCAATTTTGGATGATTGTACAATAAACACAATACAATTCATATAATTCTACGTTCAACGTTCAACGAAAAAGTAAACGTTAATGCAGAAAGTAAATAATGATTTTTATAATTCTTAAAATACATTGTGTTAAAAGCTTCACTGCCACTTTACAATCTTTGTTTATTAGAATTATTTCGCGAGACAATATTGTGCATATATTTAGTAAATAAATATTTCAATCACTTTTTTTATTTAAAATTAGTTT